AGCTCACAGCAACCTCCAACTCCTAGGCTCAAGCAAGTCTCCTGCCTCAGTCTCCCAAGTAACTGGGACCACAGGCGCCTGCCATAACGCCCGGCTATTTTTTGGTTGCAGCTGTCATTGTTGTTTGGTGGGCCTGGGCTGGATTCGAACCTGCCACGTTAGGTGTATGTGGCTGGCGCCTTAGCCACTTGAGCCACAGGCACCGAGCCTATTTATTTTTGAGATAGAGTCTCACTCTGTTGTCCCAGACTAGAGTGCCATGGTGTCATAGCTCCCAGCAACCTCAAATGGGCTCAAGCAATTCTCCTGCCTCAGCATCCTCAGTACCTGGGACTATAAGAACCCAGAAAAATGCCCAGCTAGTAGAGATTGGGTCTTGTTCTTGCTCAGGCTTGTCTCAAACTCCTGAGCTCAAGCATTCCACCTGCTTCAGCCTCCCAGAGTACTAGGATTACAGGTGTGAGCCCCCCCCCCCAGTCTTCTCTCCACTTTCAAAAACCATTCTGATACCTGCTCTTCATGTAAACTATCAGGTAAAGGCTGGGAAGTCCATATGGAGGGGGAAGAGAGGCAGAGCCACAGGGGATTTGATTTCTCTATGCTTCTGGGCACAAAATCAGCAAGATGAACTTGATTAGAATCTCTGTTTTTGTGATAGAAGAATCCAGATTCCATTGCTCAGTAACCACATAGCCCATAGGATCCAAGGGCAAGGATGAATCAGGGCAGCTGCATGTGGGCTCCTAACATACAGGGGCCCCTACCAGTCTCTGGCTCAGGCCTACACAGGCTCATCCCTACTCTTGGCCTCCCGTCATGGTCTCCAGGATGAGACTTCTTGGCTACTGCATTCTCCCTATTTAGTTCTCTCACCTCTGATATTTCACCACCACACTACACAAGAGAATGAGCTTAGGTCTACACAAGGAAAAGCAGCTTGTCTAGGATCAAACAGGTGCAGGGCTACTCAGGAGGCTGAGGCAAGAGAATCACCTAAGCCCAAGAGCTGGAGGTTGCTGTGAGCTGTGACACTACGGCACTCTACCGAGGGCGACAAAGTGAGACTCTGTCTCTCCAAAAAAAAAAAAAAGAAAGAAAACAGGTGCAGGGTGAGAACCAGACCCAAGACTCCCCACACTAGCCCAGCATTTCTCCTACATTGGCCTTGGAATTGTCAGCCAAAAACACAGCACAGTGTATTTGTGAAGCGACGGCCAGGCTCTGTATAGTCATGAAAGGTCGTCCTCAAATCATCTGTCATTTGAAGCTGCTGCCTCGCAGTGGTTTATTAGGCATTTGAGGAAACTCTGCTTAAGCATAGCTACATCCCAAGCCCATGGCTACAACCTTCTCCCAGCTGGGAATATGAGACTGAACTGAGCTGGGAAGAAAGTGATCCTGAGGCCTGGCACTGTGCCACCTCCCTACTGGGTTCACAACAGTACCTGGCCAGCCCTGCTGGGACTCCTCAATCATGCAAAGCAGCTCTGGCTCCTAGGAGACTGTGGAATTGTCATCTGTGTCCTACTCAGCTCCCAGCATAGGGATGAACCCAAGTGAATAGGTGGGACAGTGAGCATCAGCCCAGGGAGGGCTGGGGAAAGTGCTTGTCTCCTTTATTGAACATCCCCAGGGGGCCCTCAGCAATGCCCAGGCAGCCAGAGGAGGAAAAAGCAGGAGGCAGGTTGGGGGAGTAGCCAGAGACGCCCACCCTCATTTCCAATCCTTGAAGAATTGCTTGAAGATGGGACTCTCACGGCCCTGGGGCAGAATCTCCACCTGCAAGGACAACAGAGAAGCCTGGTTTACAAGATTGCCAGGGAGGACAGAGAGAACCAGAGCCAGGGAGGCAGGTTGGGCACCCAGCCTGAGTCCCTGTGCATTTGGACCAGGGGTGCTCCTCCATATGGGCCAAGAGACCAGAGAGATTACAGGGACATAGGCTGAGGGATTGCTTCAAGGATGTGTGTGCACAGTTGGATAGGTGCCACCAACTACAGTTGAGCTACAGCTGAGCTTTGTCAGCTCCCCACAGAATGACTTTTTTTTTTTTTTTTTTT